TTTTTTTTCTGAAAAAATTAGGATAGGCAATGTGTTTTTATGTAATCCACCTATTTTTTCCACCATTACAGCGAAGACAACCTGCAGCATCAGCCTCCAACTCACACAACCCTGAAGATTTTCTGAAGAGGTTGGCTAAGCTCAGGGATAGCGATAAATTCGTGACCAAGTATTCCATGGAGTGAGTCATGTTACTTTTGGTTTTTTGTGTAAATTTAATTTTTCCGCAAAAAACAGGAAAAAATTAGGCTTCTTTGAAAGGGGTTTACTACTTCAGAAAGCCCACTGTTTTAGAAAGTTTTGTCCATGCTTTTGTACTAAGTTTTGCTCTCGAATGTTATTGGTAAGTTTAGGCATCCTTCGCAATTCTTAGCGCTTGAGATTCGCGAACTAAAATCAGCAAATGGTTTGCATTTACCTGCGTTCCCAGGAAAAGAACCTTCACAAGTACCGGATCTGGTGAGTATCACATTATCAGTTTTTCTACTTAATTCTTCCCTTCCAATGTATATTTTCTTTTTCCTTGGCAGTCAAATGTATCCCGCGCTCATCTTCTGTCATGCTTCCGAATTAGTATGCAACATTTTGTACAAAATCGTGCTGGAATCACCAAAGTTAATCACATCGATGAGGCTAAGAATCTGGTTGCAGGTTAGCTTATGTCTATGAATAGTGTGCTGACATGGGTTGCATCGGGTAATTTTCAGGAATTCTGATTCTTAGCGATTCTCTTCTGAGAGCTGTTGAGCCAAAGAAGTTGTCCAATGCGGTAATTCAACGTTTTCATCCGTCTCAATGTGCTGAGTGAGTGAAAAATTTTTTGCTTGAATTTGAAAAATAGACAACAATAAAAATCCAATTTTTATCATCAGCATTTCGGTCATCTGTGGAAATGATTTTTGCGACAGATATACTTATGAGGTATTTTATTTGGTTTGACGTAAAATAAGATGTAGAAGGAGATTAGCGCTGCAAATAAAGGAAAGCGACTAGTGCCGTGTACGCGACGCCTTCATTGCAAAGAGTACGCGGACCGGAGAGACGTAGACAAGACAAACAGTTGTCGCAACGCGCCGCAATCCGTAGTTTCTGCATTACCTGCGTCGCTGAACCTACAAAACTGATGATACGATTTCCTTTTTAACTATTCTACATTCTTAAATTTCCAACGAGATTATTTTCAACAACTTTTTTCATTATTCGTGTTTTTCATCCCCTTCTTTAATTTTTTTCCAATATTTATCATTCAGAGACATACTTGAAGTGCTAGATCGTTGCTCTTATGAAGAGTTGGACATCCGACACTGTGTGCTAGCTTGGGGACATGACCTTATTGCGTATTTTCAGCAAAGTCCAATTTTCGCTGCAGGACAAGCTATGGCGTAGGCCTTTTCTTACTTTTTGTAGTTTTTTTCTGTATTTCCGCGAATTTTTGATTGCACGGCATACTTATGGTCCTTCAGTTCGCTTATTTATGTGCGAGCGATTTTTCTAAGGAAGAAGCAGTCATTCGAACAGGAAGGCTATAGAAAAAGAAAGCTCCCTACCTTTTGGTTGCTGACCATACCTGAGGTACTACATTTGACCCATTTTTTCCGCAGAATTTTCCCCTTCTTTTTTTTTT